CTGAACCCTGAACCCTACACCCTAATATCCTGAACCCTAAACCCCTAAGCCCTAAACCCTGAACCCTAAACCCTAAACCCTAATAGCCTGAACCCCTAGACCTAAAATCCTACAATCCACCATCCGTTGGGTCTCACCCGAAATCCAGAAACCCAGGCCATTAAGGTTTAGGGTTTAGGGTTTAAGGTTTAGGGTTTAGGGTTTAGGGTTCAGGGTTCAGGACTTGCCTGAAACATCCAAATCCTAAAACCTCGCAGCCTAAAACAGAATGCCATTTTGAAAGGAACACCAAGAAAGCCCCACCACCTCGATGCTGTAGGGTTCAGTGTCTAGCGTTTAGGCTTCTTGGCGGCATTTGGTGTTTCGAGGTGGGTGCCGGGTTCTCGGTTTAGGGTTTTGGGTTTTGGGGTTTAGGGTGTAGGGTTTAGGGGTTCAGGGTTTAGGGGTTTAGGGGTTTAGGGGTTTAGGGTTTAGGGGTTTGGGTTTAGGGTTCAGGATTTGGGGTTTAGGGTTTGGAGTTTCGTTGCTGCCTCTGAGGCTTACGGGGAATTCCAGGGCGCAGTGGATCGGATGGTTGGGTTCAGGGTTTAGGGTTTAGGGTTTAGGGTTTAGGGTTTAGGGTTTAGGATACAAAGGAAAGGGGATACTCCCGACATCATGGTTTCATCATATACGCTGACAGCCTTACACCCTAACTAAACCCTAAACCCTAAACCCTAAATCCTAAACCCTAAACCCTAAACCCTAAACCCCTAAACCCTAAACCGTAAATCCCTAAACCTTAAACCCTGAACCCTAGACCGTAAACCCTATATCTATATCCGATATCCCTCAAAGACACCCGCAAAGCGGTAAATCTGCTGGGCTTCAAGGCTTCGAGTTCGCGAAGCCCAAACCCTTAGTACTTTAGGGTTTAGGGTTTAGGGTTTAGGGTTTTACGACCCCTCTGAACCTTGGTACCAAACTCTTACCCCACCCAAAATCCTAAACAAAGAACCCACATGTCGAAGCTGAAGCACCCGACACCCGAAATGCTTCATCCTGAACCAACCCGACCCCGATCTTCCACAAAATCCTGCAGCTTGTGCACTTTAGTTCCTTGCTGCGCCAACTTTCCGCTTGGCGGGTACAACTGACGCCGGATTTACCGACGCCTTCTCGATTGCGAGGTGTTGTTAAGGCCGTTCCGGATGGCGCTCCTCTTGCTAATGGACAAAGTCCTGTGTTGCTTTAAGCAGCATGATGTAGGAATTGTGGAATATTCGCACTATGAATGACCGTAGACCCCTAAACCCCTGCACACTAAAACCCTCACCCCACTGCAGCGCCCAAACCCTAAATCCTGAGCAACAGTCGGGCTATCAGAGACTTGACACTTAAGTCGTTGAGCAAGGCGTCTCGAGTTCGCGGCTTCGGAGTGGTCGGTGCCAGCAACTGTTTCACAGTGGCTTCGTGCATCTCGATGTCTCCAAGGAGCCCTGTCTGCTATTCACATCACATTCCTTAAAACAAAACCCGTTGCATTCCACTACGTTCCATCACACTACATTTCACCAGAATCCCTTTACGTACCTCTACAATCCATTACATTCCTTTACATGTCATTTCCCTTGCAGTACAGTGCATTGCAGTGCAATCCAGTACATTACATCACGCGTCACATCCCGGTCTGTTCCGTTTCACTAAACTACAGTGCGCTATGCTACACTGCGCCACACGACATGACATCAAATCACATCACATTACATTACATGACCCAAAATCACAATACACATTTATTATATTACAGTACATTACATTACATACATGCATGTATACGCTTGTGCATCACAATCCCCACTGCCTCCGATCGTCCAAACGTGTGCCGGGAGTGAGGGTGATGACTTCAACATTTCGCATCCTGCATGGTTAGATGGGATTGAACGGACGGCGTCCGGCTTGCGAATTTTAACTGGCGATGAATAGACTCCGAGCTTACAAATCACTCGGAGCCGACACCTGAAAACCTAAATCCCATATACCGTCAAACTCAAGCCCTCAGCCCACCGTCTCCAAACAGCCCGACGGTCTTGTTCACCATGTCTTTGTCTTTAGCCCAACAGCCCCATAGCATGAGTTCTGTAGAGACTCAAAGAGACACAATGTCACAAAATCCGAAGCTGAAACTTGAACCCTCAAGCCCTAAACCCTAAACCCCTAAACCCCTAAACCCTAAACCCCAAATCCTAAATCCCAAACCCCAAATCCTAAACCCCAAACCCTAAACCCTAAATCCTAAACCCCTAAACCCTAGCCTTGAAATCAATCCGCTCGCAGCCAAGAGTTGGCTTGGTTAAGGGGCTCCCGGGAAGTCACGGGCGAGTCCGCAACGCCGCCCTCAAACCGTGGAGGGTTCTAAGGTCCTAAAAATAGGGTTGAGGGTTGAGGGTTTAGGAGTTTAGGGGTTTAGGGTTTAGGGTTTAGGGTTTAGAGGGGTTTAGGGTTTAGGGTTTAGGGTTTAGGGTTTAGGGGGGTTGAGGGTTGGGGGGTTAGGGGTTTAAAAGGGGGGTTGATGGTTGAGGGTTTAGGAGTTTAGGGGTTTAGGGTTTAGGGTCTAGAGTTCAGAGTCCTAAATAGCCCCAACTAGAGTTCTTATGATAAGACTATGAGTTCTACCTGGGCTCTATGTATTTGTTCAGAACTGCCGCTTAAACAGTCAGGCAGGGGGTTATAGGTGTTGTAACTCTGTTTCCGTTGCACACTCGAATCCTTCGAATCTTCGTTTCAACGTTTGTAGTATGGGTGCGTACAGAGAGAACCAGGGTTCACATGGTGCTGAGTCATTACATGCCTGGGCTGTGTTCTGCTTTGGTTCGTGTAGGGTGTGGGGGCATGTTCCTGTATAAGCACTTGGAGAAACCGATTGTTAGGCAGGCATGTAAACCCAAAGCCCGAGACCCATACTGCGCTAAGAATAAGCCCGAAAAGCCTCCTAAACCCTGGACCCTACACCCTAAACCCCAAGCCCTAAACCCTCATCCCTTCCTTGGGGCCTCCAGTGGCTTTCGGGCGCAGAGGACGCAGATTCTCACTCAAAGGACCATCCCGGAGGCGCCACTTGAGGGCTCGAGGGGTTCGAGGTCTAAGTCCAAGGCTTCGGTTTAGGGTTTAGGGTTTAGGGTTTAGGGTTTAGGGTTTAGGGTTTAGGGTTTAGGGTTTAGGGTTTAGGGTTTAGGGTTTAGGGTTTAGGGTTTAGGGTTATGTTATGTTTTGTTATACTGTATTGTATTGCATTGTGCTGAATTATATTATAGTGTGGTATAGTAGACTATCATATTGTATGGTGTAATTAATATCGCACCGTACCGTATAGTATAGTACATTAGACGATGGTTGTAGATTGGGTTCCAGGGGCACACTCCAACGGCTTAGGGTTCTGGGATTTAGGGGTTTAGGCTTTACCGTAGGGTTTACCGTTCAGGGTGTAGAGTTTAGGGATACCAAACCTCTAACAAGACACTGCTAGGGCGGGAGCAGCACATACTCACACTTCCTCGATCCCAGATCCTACCGAGACGCTTCTCTAAACAATGAACCCACTCAAAACCGACAAATCCCAATTTCCAAATGCAATCTCCAAACCCTTCCACAAACGTCAGATTCTCTGATACCCGGTCGCTGGTTTTGTCTGCTCACGCCCATCTTGGAAACCCTGAAACTTTAGAATGCCTAAAGACCCTCGAGCCTCAATCCCGAAAAGGCCTAACTCCCCGAAGCCACTGAGGCTAAGGCAATCAAAGCTAATGTTGGGGACTAAATATCCGGAAAAAGACCTCGGGGGTATTCTACTCTGGTTACATAGGGACCACAGGATAGTCCCGGCCTCCATGTTCCCCGAAACTGAAACGCACCCAGGGGATGCATGGATTCCCTACATGATCTAAGGTTGAAACCATGGGCCCCTAGTATGGGCCCTTACCCCTGGGATCCTTATACACCTACTATATACCCTATATGTACCCTTAAGCCCTAACCCCTAAACCCTAAACTCTAAACCCCTTAAGGGTCCCTAGAAAGCCCTAAGGGTCCATGTTAGGGGTCCATACTTCTAATTTAACCCTAAACCCTAAACCCTAGACCCTGAACCCTAAACCCTAAACCCTTAAGGGTCCCTAGAAAGCCCTAAGGGTCCATGTTAGGGGTCCATACTTCTAACCCTAGACCCTAAACCCTAGACCCTAAACCCTAAACCCTAAACCCTAAATCCTAGACCCTAAACCCTAAACCCTAAACCCTAAGATATGAAGGGACGACTTGAGCCTCGGTCCGGTCACGGATGGATTGAAAAGTGAAAAGTCTCCCTTCTTTCAGGGACGGTTTACGGTTTAGGGTTTAGGGTTTAGGGTTTAGGGTTTAGGGTTCAGGGATGTTCAAGGTTCGGAGTTGAAGGTTTGGGGTTTGGGGTCTAGGGTTTGGAATTTAGGGTATGGGGTTTAGGGGTTAGGGGCTTATGGGCTTGGGGCTTCAAACTTTTGGGTGGAGGGCTCGGGGTGTTGGATGCTCAGGCTGTGCTAGGTATTTGGGCTTCTTGTTCCAATGCTTTCGGGTGCATGTAGCTAGCCTGCGCTTCAGAATCGCGGCCTCTGCATTGTCGCATCGCTCTGTCTAGCCAGCAGCGCAGAAGTCGTTTGTATCGGTGATGGGCCACCATAGTCGCGCATGCCCCTGCCCGTAGTATTGAGGTGTCGCACACAGGCCCAACATGTAGTTCAGCCCATTGACGAAGAAGACGAAAGCCAAGATGGTATGCAGCTGCACTGCAGCAATTATCGCGAAGTGCAGCCAAAAAGGTAGGGCATCATAGGTCGTCCCAAGCTGGTAAGAGAAGTCGTAGGCCGCTAGAATACGATCATACTCCTCCTTGACGGAAGTAGCCCGAGTCACCTCGTCGGAGGGCACGACAGACGATATTCTTCCTGCCTCAAAATCCTCTGCGAACATATGTCTGCGACGCTGTCCCAGACGTAGACCTGTGCACCTGGGTGCTGTCAGTGTGCATGCAGAGCAGTGAGGCTGGAAAACCCTATAGCTCTCATACCCAAACCCTTAACCCTGAAACCCAAACCTCATTCATAACCTTACATAACCCGCACTCTAAAACCCAAACCCGAAAACCCTCAAGCCTTATCCGAAACCCTACACCCTAAAACCCTAAAAGAAAAATATATCAGGATCTCTGATTCTAGAACCCTTAGTACCCTTAAAGGGAACCCTGATGCCAGTGAACTACGACCTGAAACCCAAAAACCGAGCACCGACAGGGCCACAGTCACCATCGCAGTTCACCAATCCTACCAAACGCTGCAAGCCTTTCCTATAAGGTCAAAACCAGGGCTACGTATTCAGGGTTTCTATACGGGAGTTAGGTGTAGTCGGCTTAGTGTTCAGAATAAAGTATTGGAGAGTGTTTACGATCAGCGAACAAGCCTCATTGACCTTTCGTGTGTATGGACCCTGCATTCCGGCTAAACATCACCCAACACAAAGTATAGTCAGAACGCAACGGAGAGAAGGTGAGTCAACGTAGCTTGCGAGACCGGGAAAGCACAGTACATTTCTCCATCAAGCCAGAAGAAAGTCGAACAAAGCCCGAAGAAACCCAAAAAAAACTCGAATGAGACGCGTCTTATCCGAGAACCCTAAACCAAACAAGCGCCCTTAATGCTAATCCTAAACCCTAAACCCTAAACGCTAAACCCTGAACCCCAAACCCTAAACCCTAAACCCTAAACCCCAAACCCGAAACCCTTAACCCTAATCCCTAAAACCCTTTTCCCCTTAACCCCAAACCCCAAACCCTAAACTCTAAACCCTAAGCCCTAAAACCCTGAACCCTAAACCCAATGCCGTTCCAAGCACCGAAGGAGATGGCAGAAGAGGTCTTCCAGGAGCTCCGCGAGGAGCATGGCGAGCCTTCTCTGGGTCTTCGTTCTGGGGTTTAGGAGTTTAGGGTTTCGGCTTTAGGAGTTTAGGGTCTAGGGTTCAGGAGTTTAGGGTTCAGGAGTTTAGGGTTTAGGGTTCAGGAGTTTGGGGTTTGGGGTTTAGGAGTTTAGGGTGTAGGGTTCAGGAGTTTAGGGTTCAGGAGTTTAGGGTTTAGGGTTCAGGAGTTTAGGGTTTAGGGTTTAGGAGTTTAGGGTTCAGGAGTTTAGGGCTTAGGGTTCAGGAGTTTAGGGTTCAGGAGTTTAGGGTTTAGGATTGGGGTGATCAAAAGTCACAGCGTGCATCACACTCTGACGTGTTGGTCAGCTAGAGAGATAACACTTCTACTTCTACCACGACCCCCACTACCACTACCACCACCACTACCACCACTACAACCACGACTACCACTACTGCTAGCACTAGCACTACGACGACGGCGGCTAATTGCCACTTGCATTAGCGTTGGCATTAGGACTTGGTATACTGGCTAGGAGATTTAGGTCCTGCGGGTTGCACATTTGGGGTGGAGCACTATCAGTGTTACTGCCACGACAACCCACCACCGCGGTCAACACTACCAAAACAAAGCAGCCGTTGCAGCAACGCTATACTTGAGTAGTGGCGATTGTGCGGGGTGAAGATGGTGTTGGTAACAAGGATGATACTGGTGATGATGATAAGATTGGCAGATGCGGATGATGATAATGATGATGCTGCTGATGGTGGTGATGGCAATGGTGATGGTGATGGTGAGGAGTGTGATGATGGTAATGGTGATGGTGACGGTGACGGGTTTGATGTTGCTGATGATGATGATGATGATGATGATGCTGACGATGGTGATGATGGTGGTGCTGATGCTGATGATGCTGTTGATGATGATGATGATGATGATGATGATGATGACGATGATAATGAGGATGATGAGGCTGAGGATGATGAGGATGAGGATGATGAGGATGATGATGATGCTGCTGATGATGATGACGATGATGATGATGGTGGTGGTGATGATGATGATGATAATGATGATGATGATGATGGTGGTGGTGGTGGTGATGGTGGTGATGATAGTGATGATGGTGATGATGGTGATGATGGTGATGATGATAATGATGATGATGATGGTGGTGGTGGTGGTGATGGTGGTGATGATGGTGATGATGGTGATGATGGTGATGATGGTGGTG